TCCCATTTCATATATTACCGTTGCAGGCGTGCAACCCGCTCCCATTTCATATATTACCGTTGCAAGCGTGCAACCCGTTCCCATTTCATATATTACCGCTGCATGTCATCCCCTCCCCATCTTTAGCTGTGAATATCTGCTTTTATTTTCCGTTGTAGATGATTTAACTGCACAGGTTTATTTGGTAGTCTGGTCCTAGCCTCGTCGCTACTTCGCCGAGGTTAGGCTAGGCACTTACCAGCACATGGGGTCGGTTGTGCTGATACTACACTCTGCACTGTGTGCAAATACTGATACCGGAGCGTTTGGACCGCAGTGAGGGTGTTGTCTTCAGTCCATTCAGGCGACCCGAGGTAGTCCTGCAGGCGTCCGCAGGCCTTGGCGTCTCCTTCTATCTTTCTCTACTGTTTCTTCTATGTATTTCTGAAACATTTTGTATTTATCTTTCGGACTCTTATTTGTAGTATTCTTAAACAGTCTGTGAAATTGTGATACCAGTTCTGGGTAGTCTATGTTTAAGGAATTGTATTGGTAATATTTTAATGGTTATAATTTGTTCTTCCGCTTATTTAATTCCGCTGATTATATGATGTTGATTCATAACTGTTAAAGGATTAAAAATGAGAAAAAGGTAAATAGTTGAAATAATTGGCTTGCCTAGCTTTCACTGGTAGGCGCCATCCTCCCGAGGGTGGAAAATCCTGATCGTCACAGTAGCTATATGATTAAGACAAAAATCCAACGAGTCTTATAATACGTACGTTAATCCTTTCTTGGAGATTCTCATATTACTTAAAGAATTATGGAATTCATGTAACACAAAGTTTTAATTAATTAAACTGATTTTATTATCTAAGGTAGCGTATAAGCTACTAAAGCAGTGATCAATATCTTTAATTTATATGATTCTGATCCAAACAAAATTAGTACTATAATTTTCTTCGTACGTATCGTTATTAACATTATTATTCCATTTCCTTAAATTTTGCTCCAATTTAATTAAGAACCATGAAATTTAAAAGGCAAAAAGAATATAATAAAGTATCATGGAAACCACACAACAAGTGTTTGAAGATTAAACAAAGGAATGCATCTGTCTTACTTTTCTTATTTTTTCCTTTTGTTTTGTGGCACACATTTAACAAAAATATTAGAAATGATAGTTTAATTGGACAACAAATAATGTTCGAGAGACAACTGATATTAATCGACATCCTAACATTACGATTTTATATCGAAGTCTCTTGACTACTAGAATATTCCATTAATATGACAAGTAATTAAGATCATGTGACTGGTCGAACCAATTGTTAACATCTTTAATTAGAATAATAAAAACTCAAATTAATGATACCCTAATTACTTAATATTTTTTAAATATACGCAAACTAAGGGGAGAATAAGTCAATCTAATTGACCTCTCTAGGGGGCATATTCCACAGGACGTTGAGGTTATTCTAGGGGCGGCGAATCCCCTTCGTCGGAAAGTTAAATTGTATATATAAGATTAAATTTTTTTTTTTATTAATATTTAGTAGATGTTGAATCCTCTTGGCACGTGCAAAGGAGAGGCATAGATACCCCTGTCAAGAGGTGTGAGAGGTTGACCATGGTGACTCTAAGGAAAGGTAGGGGTAGGCCAAAGAAATATTGAGGTGAGGTGATTAAGCAGCGCATGTATTGCTCCAACTTACCGAGGACATAAACCTCGATAGGAAAGGATGGAGATCGAGAATTAGGGTGGAAGGTTGACAAGTAGCCGTTGCATTGTTGTTGTCACTGTTTGTTACTTTATTTTATTGTTCCTTGAGCCGAGGGTCTATCGGAAACAACCTCTCTACCTTCACAAGGTAGGAGTAAGGTCTTCGTACACGCTACCCTCCCCAGATCCCACTTGTGGATTTACACTGGGTTTGTTGTTGTTTTGAATCCTCTTGGCTTCTTCATGTGTTTACTTCTTTATATTTTAAATCCCTTTTATAAAATTTATGGCTCCGCCACTCATTGTTTCTTTACTATGATACCTTGGAGGTTCAAAAATCATATACAAAAACCAGGTAATACCTTATTACTTAGTACTTAATTAAGAATATCATAGAACTAAGTGAAGATTGTAAACTTAATCTAATTGACCTCTCTAGGAGGTATATTCCGCAGGACAATGAACTGGTTCCTTTAATTACTATGGTACCTTGGAGGTGCAAATATCACATACATTAATCCGCTGAGATAACTTTATACTGAAGAATTAATAAGCGTATTAGCCAAATTCTTCATTTCTTTAAATTGTATACCCATACTATTGAACTATAGCTCCCCTCTACGAGATGAACTCAACAGAGAAGAGGGGAGGAGCGGATATTCTTTTATATTAAAATAAAAAAAGCTTTTTTAGTTTCCTTGCAGCCAGTTACAGGCGAGTCAGAAGCCCTTATAGCAAGTGCTAGCTCTATTTATCCTATTGGGATTGGAGCAAGAGAGGAATGGAAGAAAGAAAGTTGTCCTTATCTTCTCCTCCAACCGCTACCTCCTCCCGACATGAAGGAATGCACAATAATCCTTTGGGGGCTGGTATGTCCTTTCAGTTCTGGTCTGGGGAAGACCGATCAAAGAAAGGACTCCTATACTGCCTGGTGTTGATTCAACAATTTGCGTCTAGTGAGGAGCTTTGTCATCTCAAAGAATAAGCGGATCTTAATCTTAAAGTCATGGATCTCCTGATGGCGGCTAGCTGCTTTCTGCTCTCCTTATTAGTTTAGTGCCAACTCCGCTAGGTATAACTAGGGAGTCTTCTACAAGTCGCATTACTGGTCGATGACCTGATTTTAGAAGCAGTCGAGATGCCTTTACTGGGGGAACCCTTCCTTGCATTCTTTTATTGTATTCGCTTCAACCGACCATGATTGAGACAAAGGTATTTTTTATTTTTTGTTTTGGAGTAGAAACATTAGTGGTTGCACCTTTACAATTCAAATTTTCCTTTGCATTTATATACATATACAGTCAAACATCTCTATAATAGCCTCGTTTGTTCCGTAATTTTTTGGCTACTACAGTGAAGTACTGTAATAGAGAACATATAATAATATAAAATAAAAAAATTAGTTCCAAAAACAGACGTGGCTGTTATAATGAAGTATTGTTATAGAGAATGACTGTTATAGAAACCTCCGAATGTACGCATCCAAAATTGTTCCAAATATACAAGCCTCAATTAAGCAAAGGATATTCAGAAAAAGATTTTATTAGATAAAAACTTTGTGTGTATATATTTGTTTGTGTTGGTAATACTGTATTCAAAATCAGAAAATCAGAGACGCAAACAAATGTTAGTTCAATAAATAAATTGTAAAATAATTCCGAGCCCACTGAATGCACAGTGTGTCCTTATAATCCCCTCACTGTTGCCCAAGGTGTACGGATTAATTCCTCCCAGGATAGAAGGGAATAACTATTCTGTGATAGCGGTAGTTCAAATCACAGAACTTCAGCGAACTCAACAAACGGAGCAAATCACACTTGACACTTATGTTTATTTAGAGAATAATGCAACAATGTAGAAAAGAGGGGAGAAGATTTCAGATTTTTCATGTCTCAAAAATGAGGCCAAGCCTCTAAATTTATAGTAAAAGGAAGGGTGAGAAGGAGAGGTGCAATCCAAAAGGTGCCTCTTCTATTTCGCATTCAAACCCTTTAAAGAAAAAACGCAACAGTTTGTTCGAATTCTAAGGTGGCTTGTGATAATTTGGAATTTACGAAATTGAATAATGGATTATATATACTTTCAATTAATGGATTGAGAGTACTAGAGAAATGGAAAAAAGAAAAAAACAATAATATAACGCCTAGGAAAATCATGTGTTACTGATAAGTTATGCGTCTTTTGTTTTGATGATTTGACAAACTTCATGAGAGAACTAGATAAGGAACCTGATACAATTAGTTCTCTTGCGTTCAGAGTAACTATTCAGATGTCTGGTTCAATTCTCAATGAAAAATCAGATAAGGGAAGAGCAGAGGGAACATAAATGGATCAGTTTCCTTGGTCGTCGTATAGTTAACTCTACAGCTGTAAAAGTTGTTGCACTGTACCGTCTGGTAGGCTGTTGCACTGTACCGTCTGGCAGTAGTACAACAACACAATTGTAGCTTGCTAAGGCCAAACTAAAGAACGCTTTATTACATCACCCTTGATGACATCACACACACATATTATCAACATGAGGCAAGGGATTTCATCTCTCTAAGACTTGCAAATCAAAAGATAATATTCTCTCAAGTGCTTGCCACAACCACTCTCAAGAACAATGCTACTGCAACCTCAAGGACCAAATCCAAAGATTGAAGATATCTTAAATCCTTAGGTTTGTTGAGTCTTTGTTATTTGTTCTTCATTTGTAACTCCTACTTAGTTTAGATAGAAGCATTGTGTAGGAAACCCTTTGTAAATCATAAACCCTTGTGTTTGTGTCTTGGCTAGAGTTAGTCGAGTTGTAAAGTCTTCGTAATAAATTTATTTCAAAGTGACTTGTAATAGAGTTGTTACAAGTTAGTGATTAATTAAGAGGTTAATTCCTAGGTAATAATAGGTTGTAATCTAACATTGCTCAGTAGTGAAGTTGAAATCCTACAAGGGTAGGTCGTGGATTTTAATCCCGTGAGCTGGGAGTTTTCCACGTAAAACTCCATTCTGTTATTTATTTACTGCCGATTTACTAAGGGAATAGATAGAGAACGTGGTTCCCTATACTGTTTGGTTTTACAGTCTGTTGCTTACTATGGGAACTGATAGGGAACCTGGTTCTCTATATAGTTTAGTGGACCCTTAAAATTCTATCAATTGGTATAAGAGCAGGTTCTTTCTAAAAAGTTAACACCTAGAATGGTTCATCATCATGGCTGCTCCACTAAACGTTTTGGAAGGACAATCAACCTATAAACCTCCAAGATTTAACGGTCGATACTATGGTTTGTGGAAAACAAGAATGCATGACTTCAAAATGGCTGAAGACTCCGACCTTTGGGACATGATTTGTGATGGTCCCTTTGTCCCTATAAAGGCCGTTGTAGAGGGAACAAAGACTATTCCAAAGACAAGAAAAGAATACTATGGTGATGACCGAAAAGCTGTTTAGAAGAACTTAAAGGCGAAGAATATTCTTGTGTGTGGCATTGGAACAGACGAGTATAATCGCATCTCGGCATGTGAATCTGCCAAGGAAATCTGTGAAGCTCTTCAAACGGCTCACGAAGGGACTACTCAGGTAAAGCAGTCCAAAATAGATATGCTTACAACTGAGTATGAACTCTTTAAAATGAAAGAGGATGAGTCCATTCAAGAGATGCATACCTGCTTCACCTCCATAATCAATGAGCTTCATTCACTTGGTGAAATTATTCCAACCAACAAGCTGGTCCGGAAGATACTCAGTGTTCTACCAGGTTCCTTGGAGAGCAAGGTTAATGCTATCACTGAAGCCAAGACCTGCAGAAGCTGACTATTGACGAACTTATTAGAAATCTCAAAACTTATGAGATGAAGAGAAAGAAGCATTTAGAAAGAAGAGAGCCCAGGTAGGAGAAGAACCTGATACTCAAGGCTGCCAACAAGGATTCAAGTAGTGATGAATCCAACATGGAGTATCTCACTCAACGATTCCAAAAGATGATTCAAAAAAATGGTGGGATTCCAAACAAAGGAAGTTCCAGCAGGAATTTCAAAGAAATTATTGTTGTCATAAGTGTGGAAAGCCTAAACACTTCATTAAAGACTGTCCTTTTCATAAGCAGGATCATTACAAAACTAAAACTGAAAAGGTGGCTAAGAAGAACTAGGTCACTGACAGAAAGTTTAAAAGAAAAGATGCTGCTGATAACATGGTGAAGCAAGCCCAGAGTGACTAGGAAACTCCTCCGGTGAATCTGAAGGTGCAGATGACCAAGGTGATACATCTATGATGGTTGATGACAATGGTTCTTCAAAATATGAGTCAATCTTTGCACCCATTGCCAAATATGATGATGATGATGAGGACAAGGAGGAAGATGAGGTAAGTGTTCTTTATGTTCAAAGAAATTTGAAAACTTACTCTAAGAAAAAATTGATGTCCTTAGAAAATGTGTTGATTGATGCCTATTATAGCCTCATTAATGAGAAAAATACTTTAATAGAAGAAATTGGTGACATAGAACAAGAGAGGGATAATATGGTAATTTCTATTGTAGATTTGAAGGAACAAGTGGAAGAAATAACTAGAGAAAATAACTTGTTGAAAAGCCAAATGAAAAAATGGATGGACAACACTAAGGGTAAAGAAGAGGCTAGTGAGTCTCCACATGAGCTTGAGAGTGAGCTTAAGAAAGTTAAAACAACTCTTGTTGAGCTTGAAAAGAATAGACAACTTCAGGAGGATTTGAAAAGGTTAAAAATGATCTTGATAAGTCACTTAACTGTAGTTGGTCCTCTGATGTAATAACGTCTATGTACAAGAGTAATGGTGGAAACAAGCAAGGAATCGGGTTACAAAAGGCTAAAACCTCCTATAATCCCCATAGCAAGTATGTAACTGTGGCTGATAATAGGTTGTGCACTCACTGTGATCAAATTGGCCATTACAAGGACTCTTGCAAAGTTAAAATTCAGTCTCTACAGAAAAATAAAGCTTTTGTTGAAAAGAATCATACTATTGAGGAACCTGGTCCTCTGAGAGGAAAATATATGTTGCTTGCATGGGCGAAAAGAAGTTTGATCCGCCCATTCTATCTTTATAAGGGACCCAAGCTGGCTTGGGTTCCTAAGTAATCAGTAATTTCGTGTGCAGGCTGGAGCGAGAGGTAGCAGTCAAAAAATGGTACATGAATAGCGGCTGCTCCAAGCATATGAATGGAAGAATGGATGATTTCCTCTCACTTTAGGCCTTCCAAGGTGGGAGTGTGTTCTTTGGAAATGGCAAGAAGGGCTATATTCTTGGTGTTGGCAAAATTGGCAAAACACTCTCCCATGCAAATTGAAAACGTGTACTATGTGAATGGCTTGAACTATAGCTTGTTGAGTGTGTCTCAAATCTGTGATAAGGAAAAATGAAGTGAAGTTCTTGTCCAAATATTGCACTGTTACCAATATCAAGACCGGTGAAGTGGTGTTGATAACCAAAAAGTTCAAGAATATCTATGTTGCAGACCTTGATTCACTGAATGTTGGTGATCTAACATGCATAAGTGTCATTGATGATGATGTTGAGTTATGGCGCAGACAGTTATGGCATGTGAGATTTTATTTGCTGAACAAGTTGGTTATGGAGGACCTGGTTTGTGGGCTGAAGCAGTCAACACTGCCTGCTACTTGATTAACAAGTGCATGATCAGGTCCCTTCTCGAGAAGTCTCTTTATGAATTGATCAATGGGAGAAAACCCAAGATGACTTATGAGAGCCTTTGTGCCAAATGTTTTGTTCTCAACAATGGCAATAAAGGGTCACATTACAAAGAAGATGAAGATGGAGAATTTACAAATGCTCCTGGTGAAGTTATAGATATTGCAAATTGAAAGACTGATTGATGTGTTAGGTCAAGCAGAGCGATGAAGAAGATGAAGTAGAATCTTCAAAAGGCACAGAGGAACCTGGTCCCTCTATCACCTCGACTGAAGCTGAACATACTGATGTTGCATCAAGTACTCCTGATTCAGAACATAGAAGTGGAAGTCATAATTCTGTTGATGTCAATGATGTTTCAAAAATGGAGGAACCTGGTCCTTCAAATTCTGAAGTTTAAGTACTTCAAGGAGCTGCTGAAAAGATTGAGATGGAGAATGCTAAGACTATTGATGCACCTATTGCCACTACTACTCGTTTAGACATGGACGAAAACAATTCTCCTGTCAATGAAACTATGTATAGGGGTATCATTGGATCTCTTCTGTACTTGACTGTTAGCAAACCTAATATTATTTTTAGTGGTCGGTTGTGTTCTAGGTTTCATAAAAGAATTTTGAGGTATCCTAAGGGAACGTAGGACCTGGTCCTCTTCTATCCTTCAGGAGATAATTTTGACTTGGTTGGATATGTTAATGCTGATCATGTTGGATATCTAGTGGATGGAAAGAGAACATCTGGAATGGCATATTTTCTGGGGTCATCTTTGAGCTCTTAAGGTACAAGAAACAAAACTCTGTGGCTCTTTCTACTATTGAAGCTGAATATGTGGATGTTGCCTCTTGTTGTGCTCAACTTCTATAGATCTAGCAACAACTAGAAGATTTGGGTGTGTTTACATATTATGTGCCATTGTTGTATGATAACACAAGTGCTCTCAACATGGCAAAGAACTCCGTACAACAGAAGGGGACAAAACATATTGATGTGCGACATTACTTTTTAGGGATAAATGTTGAAAAGGGTCGGATTTGTATGAAGTTCTGGAAGACGGAGAACCGGGTAATAGACATCTTCACCAAGGCACAGAGCAGGGAACATGTTGAAAGAAATCGTCTGGATTTGAAGTTGATTAAGCTCAACTGAGGACCCGGTCCCTCGATGATTGGCTATGTTAAGAAGGAAAGGTACAATGTTAAAAAGTGTTTTTCGGCAACATCTAACTCAAATATATACTGTTACAGGTATATACACATGTCAGTTTTAGGACAAAACAAGTAAGAATGACATTGCACTTCTAGAAGTCTTTGCTCAGATTTTCAAAAAACCCTCAAGGAACCTGGTTCCTGTAACTCGGGTTAGTAGTCTCTCAAATACGTATATGCCTTTTTAAACTGCTGAAGTGTCATGATATTAATTTATTCCCGCCTCTCACTTAATTTTTGAATTCCAAAATGCTAAATCTTTCTGAACTAACCCGTTGCCCGAAAAAAAACTATTTCCTTCTCTCACCCAACCAAAACCGATTCTTTTCTTCAAAACCAAATCAACTTTATCTCAAAAAGAATCCTTCTATCCAAATATTCCAGAAGTGAATCCAACTCTGTCACCTTCCAAAATCCTAACTCCATCTTAATCGAACCCTAAGAAGTCTTTGGTAGATTTTGATGGGACTTTAACTGAAAAGGAATGGGGTAGATCTAATATTCTAGAAAGTGAGACTGAAATTGTTGTTGGCTTTATAGAAGCCTTGAAGGATGGAAGAATTGGTGATTGTGCCAGAAAAATGGGGAACTGAATGAGGGACCTGGTCCCGCAAATGTTTCTTAGGATGTTAATTCTGATGATGATCTTTTTCTCTTGAGTTATGTGCTTAAACGAACCTCTGATCAAATAAAAAGGATTGAGAAAAATAGGTTGATTGATGATAAAGTGGTGTGACCTATTGATGTGGTGATTGTGGAAGAGAGAATGAAGTAAAAAAATACTCACTTGTGAGAAGAACTAAAAAAAATGGAGAAAAGAAAGTTGGTTGAGAAAGATACAGTAGCTGATAAGGGTGAAAAGATTGAGAAGAAGAAGAGGGAAACATGGATACTCTGATGCTATATGTGCATGGGACTGAGTTTGTTCTTGATGAGAAGAAGCTTGGGGAGATTCTTGGTGATCTGATTGATGGTTCAGTTTGCTCAAGTAGACTGAGAACCAGGTCCCTGTGGACCCTTGGCAGAATATAATGCTAAGTTGAAGGGTGAGAATGAAAGATTGGGGAAACAGGTGGAGGACCTGAGAGAGAAGATGATCATTGATCAAATGATTGTGAATGAACGAGTTGACAAGCTCATCAAGGCCTTATCCCCTTACTTTTCTTCTTGCCCATTGGTCCATGTCTTTCACTCCTTCAAAATCCCTCGAATTCCTATCTTCTTTTGATCCCTATGATTGATGACATTGGTACTTTAGTTGTTTAAATTGTCATATTCTGTATTGTTGAAACTATTGTGCTTTTGTTATAAATACTCTACTATGGGCAATCACTCTATTTTGTGCAATGACATTCACTTGTTGTTCTTATTATTATTTATTCCGTGTTGCCCAAGTGGCATGAGTTAATGTTGCTGAACTTCTTTTTGGTTGTGCTATTCTTTTCAATGATGCCAAAAGGGGGAAGCTACATAGGTGTCAATATGGGGTGGAACAGAAATGAATTGATATGCTGTATTGGGCAAGAAAGACAGCTCTGCTTCGCAGGGGGAATACTGCTGATAACATATTGATGATAGGTCTGATCCACAGGGAAACATGTGAGGAATCTGGTTCTCAAGGGGAATATCAAGTTTGGGTTTGTCATCATAAAAAAAGGGAAATTGCTCTAAGTTATGATGTTTCATGTTTTGATGATGACAAACGTTCTCAAGGAACTGGGTACGGACTAGATGTAATCAGTACATATAAGGAATCTGATTCTCAGAGAGAATATTAATTCTGGATTTGTCATCATAAAAAAGGGGGAAATATAAGTTATGGTATTTTGTGTTTTGATGATTTGCCAAACAGTCTCGATGAACCAGTTGTGATCAGTTCCTTATGTTTGGTTCTCAGGGGGAATAAGGTTGATTCGCAGG